ACTTATGTCTAAAAAGAACGAAATATGAATTTTGACTCTAATTTTACATGAGAGTTCCCAAATAATTTCTAAAACGGCTCAAAAATCCATTACAGTACCTTTGACCTTGAATTCTGAATAGCAGTATTATGTCTTTTCATTGGTCTCTCCCAATGAGCATTCGAGCATCAAAGTATGCTAATAGCTTAGCATCTTCGTGCAGATCTCAACATCTAAAACAATTTATATCTATCAATCTATGTATCTGTCTGCTCAATTAAATAATAATCTAAGCCGATTTCCAGCATTAGAATATGCATAAGTGTAAGGGGTGTGGGATAGACTTACCTCCACGTGGTGCACCCTGGGCAACGTATACTCATACGGCAAAAAAGTCTATTAATCGGCAGCTGACTTCTCACTTCAAACTAACATCACCCCACTGTATGCCATGTTCGACTACTTTCACAGTACTCATCTCACCTTTTTCTACCTTTTTTACCTTCGTCTTTGAAACACTCTTCTGTCCCCCCCCCTCAATCCCAACTTTTTTTCACTTTTAATTTCCTTCCCCTCTATGAAGCCTGAAGTCAACTAAAGGGCTAATGATAACCATCAAAATGCCTGCCATTTGATATAAATAAATAAATAAATATAAATGTTTATTTTAAGTTTCCTATGACAATCCTAGGCAAGCCAATTAAATGGTTATGTAGAAACATAGTAGAGCCAAAAGTGATGGGGTCCAATGTCCTCTACCAAGCAGAAAGTGACATTGAGCGATTGTGTGGGAACGTGTGGTGTCCAGAGGCCAGCTTGTGCTAACTGGATATTATTCAGGGCTGTGATGTCAATTAGTAATAACGATTGTGAATACAGTTCTGCCGAATTCCGAGCATAGTGTTTATTGTTGAAATAGTTCGAAAGAAAATATCCGCAGACAGTTACTAAATTTTGAGCAACAAGTTCAGTTGCAAACGTCAAACGTAACCGTAACATACAGTTTATTAACCGATAAAAATATTCAACGTGTTTACGAGAATCGCCCAAAAAGTCCATGGAAATCAATCAGATGACTATCCTCACCACAAAAAAACTAACGTTATGCCAGAGCACATTTCAACAGCTCCATATGCTGTGTACAAAATAAGAGAAACATAAATATTACCACCCACAGACCACTCAAAGCAACCAAATGAGTTGCTAAAAGTTTTCTATTGAGACGACTGAGTTGGATATTGAAGTTCATAATGAATACTTTCAACACTTGTGGTGAAACATTGGATGCTCAGTTCGTTATTATTCGTATTATTCACTATATGCTACTTTTAAATATAATATTAGTTTCTATTCCTACATTCACACAGGCCTCTTTAAGTTCGAACTTCTGGTATAACCAAAAGCTTGCGACAACGTACACTAAAAATGGATGCAAAAAGTTGTACCAGACCTGTCGCTCATACAACCCTCTTGAATGGGACCACTATCAGGATGAAGTCTTGTAAACCATGTGGAGGTCAAGATGTGCAGACGAATTATGATCGGTTGGTGAAACATGAACAACCAGAGAGTTGTAAATCAACATTCATAAAATTTTAAAACCTAAACTAGGGACAGATAGGCACTTATTACTACCTTAGACCAACTTGGCGGTTGTACCTCTATGCTCAATTCGCAATTTTTTAGATAGGTTTGCAGTGACCTAGTGATGACAAATGTCTTAAGTTATCTTGTTTTAATACTTGCCAATATTTCCTACAGAGTCAGCTCCACCCAACTATTCGGTTTGTCGTCAAAGACTCCGTATCACTCATGATATGTGATTAAAAAATCGTACTGATCAAGTGTTTGCAGTTGTTGGATCCAATTTGTTAAACTTCAACACTTTGCGATTTCAATAAAACTCGTCAACCCACAACCCAGTGTAGTACATATAGAAGAAAGTTAGTTAGCAAAAAAGCACGAGAGACACGATAATTTGCTATCGTTCCAATACGTTCCAATAAAAAGTGTCAGCTGATAAGTTTGGATCAAAATGACGCATCAAGGAGGTGATTTTCGTCTTTACTGTTTTGATGAGGCATGCGAAGGGCAAGCAATTTACAATGAGCAAACCTATTCCTACCTCGTAAACTATGAGACGCAGCAAAAAGGAAGTTCTTTCAAGAACAAAGAAATACAAGATTGTAAATTCAGTGCGAGTGCTCGGAGAAAAAAACAATGCCCTTGCAATATTAAACGAGCTTCGAGTACCGAATTTCTGGGTTTAAGCCATCAGGTAACTAAATGTCATCCCCTATTTAAGCTTTAAGTTCACCTACGATGGAGTTTCGAGGTGACGCCAATGGTAGATTAAGTTATGATTATGATATACGCTGCGCTGTGGATAGTTCAAGTTGAAAATTTTTTCTCTACAACAACAAGAACTTGTGCTTTCCCTTTTCATAGCGGGATATTGGGTTTTAGATTGTTAAAGGAAAGCATTTTCCAATGCCCACCTTGGTTATAGAATGACACTATAGAGAGACATGAATTCTGTAACTTTAGGCAAAACTATTCAGATCAATCATTGAGTGAACACCGATAGGAATCGAACAAGTGGCCTATGCCATGGCAGATGTGCAAGATGACCAATGAGCTGCATATCGAATTTCCGAAAGCAGTGAAAGACAATCTGAGTTGGCAAGTGAAGACAAAATGGTTCTCACAATCTAAATCCAAGAAATGCTTGCCCGGAGCCCCAAAAAAAACATGCCGTGGTCAAAATTTTTCATAAAGTACAACAGCCAATATTATAAGATTCATTATTAAATAAACAGTAAAGAGAGGGAGATTCCAACTTACTATTTGAATAAATTAATCACACGGTTAGTATCACGAAGGGATGTAAGGAGATCAATTTCATTTTGGAACAGAGGCAGAACTTCTTTGGAGTCTTGAGAGAGTTCAATTCTCTTGATCGCTCTCATCTGTCGATCGTGATTCATGACGCAGTAGACACTAGAAAAGCCACCTCGACCTATTTTTCGTAGGAGAAGGAATTTCTCCCCACCCACGATAGCATTCGATTGTTCAATTAGAAGAGAAATTGGATCCTTGTTACTGGCATCCACCTTGTTGCTATTGTCAATTGTAAGTGGCGGTGGTGGTGGTGGTGGTGGCGGCGGCGGCGGCGGCGGCGGCGGTAGTAGGGGTTGTGGAAATTTCTCGATATTCACTAGGGGAGGCTGTTCAATTTCGACGTTATCTTCTACTTTGCTTACTGTCATTGATGGTAATAAGTTTGGGACGATCGTCTTTTGGGTTAGTGGAGCACTTTTATCTTGTTCTGATGTTCGATTTGGTTTCAGAAGGGTTTCATATGTGTTTTCTTTATCGATTTCGTCTTCTCTAACACCTGGAAATCAGAAAAGAGAAAAAATTGGCAGCAAATTAATTGACTGAATTAAATTTAGCATTCGTCCTAGGCATTTTGGGTAGTTTCTTAAAGCCTAATGAAGATTAAATCGCAAAGATACTAATGCCCATACTAGTTGACACTATGACATTTGCCAATTTCACTAAGCGAATGCGTGCCGACTTTGCAGATGAACTAAATTTTAAGAGGAAGACCATCAACTAATAATTTGCAAAGCAAATGGAACAAAACGGTCCCAAAAGTAAAACCAATAGCACGTTCTCGAAATGGAAATCTAGACCCCACATGAAGGAAAGATAAACTCAGAAAATAATACCCAAAATTGTAAATTTCAAAAGGTGGATAATTTAAATGGTCACAGACCGATATATTGGCACATCCATCAAAATGAAGCAATATACCTCGAAATAGAAGACCAGTCTCTTTGAAACCCCAGAAAGGCCGTTTGAGAGCAAATCTGGGCCGTTCTAATTCCTTGGTGCGTTCTGATACCGCTTGCTTCACCTTTTCATCCCTTTCTTCAGGAATGACTATAGTTTTCTGGGGTGACATGACAACACATGACGGTTCATTCACTTCTATTGTCATAACGGACTCCATTTGAACGGTGGATTCCTCAAAAGGCGGAAGACGATGAGTTTTATAATGAAGCGTTTTGAAAGACGAAGTTAAATCCTCTTCCTCAGTTTCAATTTCTGCAATTCCTTGAAGTGAAGGATTTGGTAAGATACCTGCTTGTCTTTTAAACATCCTCATTGAGAAATCACCTATAGTTGCAAGTAGGTCCTCGTCTTCTTTCTATATTTCTTTTAATTAACAGAAAAGCGTAACCCACTCTAAAAGTCTCCAAATAGGGTTCCAATGTTTTGATATAATTCTCTGGAATAGGTTTGTGAGTCTCATCATACCTTCTCATCCTTTCAATCCATTCTCCTAAATGCTCTAAAACACCTCAATAGTTATTTACCTGAACACTTAGGCAAGTAGTAATACAACCCAAGGAATACACGCAACGAGAATCTGTTTGATAATAACTCTGCGACTTTCTCAATGGCTGCCAGCCTGAATTCATTCGGTGAACATTCTTTCGCACGTTCTATAACATTATTACAATCAGTTAACCGATTCAGGGCATCGAAATAAAACACCAGAGAAATCATGAGTCGCGTATTTTTTGGCGCATTATGCTTAAGTAATAAAAGAAAGGGCGGAGATATTTCAATATTTTTAATCCTAACGTATAAATACGGTAAGAACAAATTATAGATTACCCTCTTAGTATACACAGGCGAAAGAATATAAGTGTATAGAAATCATTTTCAAAATTGTCACTCAAAACCTAAATGAATTAAGACCAAGCTAAAAAAAACCTACTTCCAGCGCGTACTCGTATAAAGTCAGAAGACAATCATCTGGTTCGGGATAATTGCCAGATTTTACGATTTCTTCAACTTTATTGAAAGCTGAAAACCATTTTGCAGGATCGTGTGAAGATAATGGGACTAATTAAATAAACGATAACTAATAAAAGAAAGCATACAATCCTTCCAAAAAACCTTGGGAAGCCTAAGGACGTCACTTAGGGTCATCACCCATATGATTTAGAAGACGAACTTGAAGATTAAAATATTGTTGTTGGAATATTAAAACAATTACATATTTTATAAAGATAAAATTTACCATTTGTATATGAATAGAAATTACATTAAATTTAATGATCAAATCAATGATTTTTTAAATTGATTTGCTCAATTTCCATAACATTTGTACAAAATGAGTTGGTTAGCTTCTCGTGTTCATCCAATTAATTATCTTTCTCGTTATATTTTTCTGGAGCGTGCGATAGACTTACCTACACGTAGTGTACCCTGAGCAACATATACTCATACGGTAAAGTCTATAAACCGGCAGTTAAATTCTAACTTCAAACTACCATGGCTCAAGTGTATGTCATATTCGAATTCTTCGCTCGCTTTAAATTTTTCTCTATATTTATTTCTGTGCCTTTTATATCTGTGATATACTCTTCTGTTCTCCACTCTCGGCTTTTGTTACTTTGATGTTCCTCTTCTCTTGGAAAGCTGAATTCAAATAAAGGTCCATTTATAACTATCAAAGACATATATATATTTTACTATTTTTAGATTAATATAGTACTTAATTTAATTTCAATAATTTCAATAATTCTCCATTTATGGACAATTCGTGATATATGGGAATCATTTTAAATACTGCAGCGGCAGTGTGATAAAACTGCTGTTCTAAGCTACCCTTTACGGAATTATTACCATGGCAGTGGCATTCTGAATTTTTCTATCATTCTTTAACGTGGCTAAGGGTAGTGATCGGTTTGAATATTTTGAAAAGGGAAATTCATTAAAGTTGTGTTCGTATCTTTCTCAAATTCATGTTATAAAGAAATTTAAATCAAATTATATGCTTTAGGATAGTTATCATTTCCTTTTAACTGGCTTCGGCTTCACGAGGAGAGGGAAATCAAAGTCACAAAAAGTCGAGATGAGGGACAGAAAAGTGATTCACTGGTGTAAAAGAGACAGACACAAAGTTAGAGAAAAGGTTAAAGTATTGTGTGTACTCTGGAAGTGGCTGAATGTGACTTACATTAGGGCCATGCTGGTTTGAAGTCAGAAGCATACTACCGGTTTATGACTTTCTTGCCGCATCAGTATGCGTTGCCCTGGGTGCACCACATGGAGGTTAGTTTATCTGGGCTAATAGTCGCTATCATGATGACAACCATTTGATAGCATATAAGCTATACAGTATTTCTGGTGTTTGATTATACCAACACCCTCTCATTGATGATGAAATCAGGCATATATCCTTTTAGCTACACTGATTGAAAAGCGTCTAGTCTTGATTTCCCTACAAAAAATATCGAACATATTAAGCCATCTCAACTTATGATCAAAACAACATTATTTCGCACAATTAATGTCGCACAAAAATTTAAAATGGTTGCATCTATTTTAAGTTTCGAAATTATAAATGCTTTTATTGCTATACATTTTTTAATCACGATACGTTTTCTGTAGAAAATAATAATTCAAACATTTTTCATAAACGAGGGGTTCCTAATCTTAATTTTGATCCTCAGAATGTAATGATTTTGAAGTCATCCCAGCACAAATTTTGACAAAACTGAAGCCAAGTATTCATCACACCCCTTTTCTTCTGGTAATTTTCACCTGGCTTCACCTGTGACTTCAGTCAATCCTAACATTTTTTGTAAATGGGTGGTGTCGCGGGGAAAAATTTTTCATTCGCATTTTAAATAATACAAAACTTTAAATAAATAAATGTATGGAGAGATTGAGAGTTTCAATTAGTGTTCTAAATTACTCAATGGTCGATATATTAGTTTCTTGTGATCTGAGAATTAAGTCCTGAGGTAAACATTTGGAATTCTTTTTGTCATAATGAAAAACGCCTAATGGGTGAAACAGACAATAATTTGACAATAAAATATTAAGGATTAGTTATACAATGTTGATTATTCGTTAAATAAACAATTTATAAAATATCCAAATGATGACATGAGTACCATTTCTCACGCTTTTTTTCACCTGTAAAGCATAATATAATTAAATTATCATATGTATTGGCCTCTATGTCAAAATTTTAGAATTATTAATAGTTAAACTTTTTACTTTCAAACTTGACTACACATCCATATGAAAGTGATAACTTATCCATAATCAATATTCAAGTGTTTGATCTATGAGTTACACTTCCTTAGTTTAGTTGAACGCCTGAATTTACTAATACTTTAGAATAGCATTTTAGGTAGCAATATGCTTTTTGTTTAGTTGGTCTACAATCTGTATTGTAGATACCGCTTCACCATTTTCGAAAAGAGCTTCTGCCTTTTTTTGTACTTTGAATATGGCTCTGCCGCAAGATGTTGGTAAACCTTGTCTTGATTGTGGATCGGAGTGTCCTGGATTTAAGTTACATCCATGGAGGTATAGATGACTTATTATTTAATTGTATTTTTCAGAGCATCGTGCAATAATTGTCTTTGCTCTTTCAACAAACATGCGATCACTGAATCGTCGGGAACTACATACTTGCACGAGCTAGAACTGCCAGATACTGCGTTAATTAAGGCATTTGAAGCTGCACAAGCGATTGCCAAAGAACACGAACTGAATTGGCTCCCAATAGGAATTCAGGCTTCCGAGGTACTTTTAATTGATAGCTTTGTGTTTGTAAACGTGATTCTAATTGTTGACAATTTTTAATCTTCAAATAAATAAACATTCTTCATAAGTTATTTTGTATTAATTTAACATTCTGATGACTGCCTAATTATGCGCCTTAGATCGAAGCATTTCTTGCTTCCCTCCCTGCCAATGAACTTCCAAGGGGAGATACTTATGCCCAAATGCGATTGAAACGCATCCGTAGCCAAGTTCCTCCACAAGATCGCAAACCGTCGGCGTCACTAAACACTGCAAAGCTCAATCTTGTGTCGTCTGATGCGCACGTAAATTTAGATGGCGAAATTCGGGAAGCAACTCGTTTTCAAGTTAACCGTAATAAACGTGACTTTGGTATTGGAAGGATTGATCGTTCTTCTACGAATCCTAATATCGTAAGATACTTCTTCTAGCGTTATCTCGTTCCTGGTTTTCCCCTGATATTTAAAGTGTTATGCCTTCTAGGCTTGTTTCGAGTGCTCTGAGCCAATTGGATTCCACGAACTTCGCGTCCACGTTCGTCAAGAGCATCGATTGGCTAACTCAGCTGATGATGTCCCTTCATGGCATCCAGGATGTTTCCGCTGCGCGACTTGTTGCGAACATCTTGTTGATTTCGTATATTGTTGGCTAAATGGAAAACCCTACTGTCTTCGACACTATGGCCAGTTAGTTCGTCCGCGTTGCTCTACTTGTGACCACGTAAGTAGTAATTTAATTTCATTTTGTTTCATTTCGCTCTCATCATGACTAACTGCACTCCAATTGGCATGCGCGCTTTTTCAAGGCGTTGTCACTTCTGTATTATTATTGGTTAGTGTCGTTCAACGTCTCTATTGGTTTCGCAGTTGGTGACCAATCAAGTAAGTGACTTCATGCATACGTGTATTAAGTGCGTGCGTGTCCCACCAGGAACACAGGACAGCTACGTGTCTGTCTCTCCTTTAGTCCATTTTAACGCAAGCCATTGATTTCTGCCTTGCCCACCTGGCTATCTTAATCTCTTCGCCCATTGGTTGTAATGGTTTGCCCACTAAGAAGCCGCTTCGCTCATGTCTTTGTGCGTCCGTGCCTAATTTCATGTCCAAAGTAGTTGCTAACTCTAATTGTACTTGAACGTGTGTTGGTCTCTTATTTCTTGGATTTATTCTCTTTTTGAACTTGGATTTTATTTCTCTCTTCTTACCAATACTAGCCCTAGTCGTTGGATTCTCATGTAAGTTAACTACGCATGCGTGAGAGAGCTTAAAATGTCTTCTTCTTAATTCGTTCTCTATGGTTTACGTACCTGCACACGTATGATTTTATGCACGTATCTGATTTGCCTTTTATTTTTTGAAAAAGTGAGATAGAATAATAAACTCTTGTCTTTAGTAATATTTACGCACGCATGCATTCACGTCTGCTCCCACTAATACTTGATAATCAGATAAATTTAACCAGCCAGGTTACTACCGTAAGAGTGTTCAGTTCGCTCCGTATTTAGGCGCTATCACTGACTAATCTCGATTTGCTCTCGTTGTAGTTAATTTTTTCGGAGGAATATATACGTGCAATGGATCAGGAACACCATACGGGTCATTTTGCTTGCCGTAGCTGCGACGTCTCTCTAACCGGTCAACGCTACATCCTTCGTGATGAGGAACCCCATTGTCTGGCCTGTTATGAGGCGAAATTCGCCAACACATGCGAACAATGCAAAGAGAAAATTGGCTGCGATTCCAAGGTAAGGACAAATTTCCATTTCCTGAAGTGTTTTTCGAGATCGTTGTATTAGCTGTTAGCATTTCATTAAGTAGGCTAATGCTTTTCCTTCTACCTCTTCCTTGGTTTACATGCTCTTAATCCCCACTGGTGAGTATGACAAAGGAACTACTTAAGTTATATCGATGTCGCGCTGTTTGTAACAGACATCTCACTTGTATTATGAGCTCTGACGGGTTCTTATCATGTGAAAGACGAGTTGCGAATAAGGAAAGTTATGTTAGAAAGTCACATCTTCATTCGTCCACCATTTTCTGCGTTTTGGCTTCCTCTCTCTTCCCCACTCTAGAATTGCCTAGCGCTGGTTCCATCCAAGCCCTGCTGTGTGAGTTAATTTCATCTGTAATCTATCTCTTCAAAAATTACGCTCATTTCTGCTCATTGTCGTCTATCTGTATGTGTGTCGTTCTCCTAGAATGTTTGCACGGATTTGAGTTGAATTTAGCTTGATTTTCTACCTATCTCACTCTTCATACACAAGTAATGCTTCTCTTTCTCGAAAGCCCCATTCGCATATTTTCAATTTTTTCTATTTTTTCAGGATTTATCTTTCAAAGAACGTCACTGGCACGAGAAATGCTTCAAGTGCTCGGCTTGTAATACCTCGCTGGCAGATCGTCCATTTGCGACCAAGGATGATCAGCTTTTTTGCTCAGACTGTTATGATGAACGCTTCGCGGCACGTTGTGACGGTTGTCAGGGTGTCTTCAAGGCCGGAATGCGCAAATACGAGTACCGAGGTCAACAATGGCATGAGGAGTGCTTTGTCTGTGTGGAGTGCAAACAGCCAATTGGTGCCAAGAGCTTTATTCCTCGCGAAAATCAAGTCGTTTGTGTGCCCTGTTATGAGCAAAAGTATGCTCAAAGATGCAGCAAGTGCTCTGAGGTTATCAGACGCGGTGGTGTCACTTATAAGGGCAATCCTTGGCATAAAGAGTGCTTTACTTGCACTAGCTGTGGTAAACAACTAGCTGGACTTAAATTTACCTCGAAGGATGAACAGCCCTATTGTGCAGATTGTTTTGGCGATCTCTTTGCTAAGAAGTGTACCAAATGCGGAAAACCAATTACTGGTAAGTCTTAATCTTTCTATTCATTTCTTATTTGATATTTAAAATGGTGGAAATCTCACATTTTATTTATAGGTTTCGGAGGCTGCAAATTTATTTCATTTGAAGATCGTCATTGGCATTCAGAGTGTTTTGCCTGCAGCAAATGTAATGCCAATCTCGTTGGACGTGGTTTCCTGACAAATGAGGATCAAATTATGTGCTCGGATTGTGGTCGTTAAGAGTGTGGGGGGACGTTGTTGTTTTATTCTGTTGTATCTCCGGCTGCTCTCTCCCCATCCGCTTGTGTACTGTTTTCATTTGTTTCCTTTTTCTTCACCACTGCTTTTGTTGCAAATTTACAGACAAAAAAACAACAAGCACGAGAGATTGATCTTATTGAACGCTTAACTCCCTCCCTGTCCTGTAGCAGCTATGGAATTGAGTCAACAGTAACTACCCTCTCAAGTATAAATCTATTTTCTTCATTTTATCGGCACCGCTCGGTATATATGTAAGAATGAGCTCTTTTCCCCAACAAAGCGGTTGTATTTCAGTGCATTTTTTCGCTAACACGTCTTTCTTCCTGGTTTTGCTTCAGGGCACTTATCCCTCCACAGCACACCTCGTCAACTATTCGCATCTGACATTATATTCTCCCTCTTGTGAGCCTTTTATTTCGTGCCTAAATTTCTGCGCCTCCACCTTTTCCTTCTTAAGGTTCTCTCCTTCTGAAATAAATCTGACAGAACTGTGTAATTAGTCTTTTATTGTATTTAATCTCTATTGCTAAGAGCAATCGAACTTGTAGCTGAGTTCACGCAAATTTTATTTACGCGTGGAAAAATAGCTTATCAATTCATGGGAGATGCGTGCTTAATTTTTATGTAATTTTAATGTTGTGGGAGCGACTTAAGCTATTTGTCGGTGGATTGATCGATAATAAGGTGCAACGGCTGCAGGTCTCCGTGTGTGTCTAGGAGGCTTCATCCTCCGCATGTGTGTTTGCCCAGAACCATCGTAAATGGTGACTCACCCCTTGTGAAAAATGATGACATGGACGAAACGTCTGTGATTTTCCCCCCTAATACATTGGTGAATAATTCAAAGTTTGCAATAATAACAGATTGGTAGATGAGCGCAAAAGGATTTTTCAAACGCATTTTAGGCGAAGTGAACAGCCGTTTGTCCAACTATTCTGGTATGAAGCGATTGAATTCGACAGCAACTAGAGGAGTTTGTGGAATTGTCACACACGCATTAATTTAAAATTCTTCCAGTTTTCCACAAAATTTTACAGCGACCGATGCTTAATTAAGCTATTATTAAAAATATCATAAAAGTGAGGGTTCTTGGAGGAAGTAACCATCTTCGATTTTATTTTAGCACACTCTTATTTAAAAGCTAAATTGCTAACTTGAAATATGATTTTTTTTGTGAATTTGAAGGTAGTGAAAAAGGATAGCGAAGCTGTCAGGGTACCAGGTTGTGATTTTTAACTTCAGCAGGCTGTAGAAATTACTGCGTGGGTTAATAACCAGTTATATGAGGGGTAAACGTTATGTTTATTTTACACGATAGGCTCAAGATGAATAGTTGTAAACTATTCCTCTATGTAGGTCTCATGAAGGAATAACTCCGCATTCTAAATAATTTGAATCAATTCCATCTTTGTATGAGCCCTTGTCCATAATACTGACTAATGGAAAAGGAAATAATTGAAGCAAAATTGAACTCACTTTAACTTTTTCATGCTAGCTCTTGGTCTTATAAAGGACAAGTCATTTAATTTATTAACTAATCAATAGGCATAACACGCCACTTGGTACAAGTTTTAAAAAGGCATTATGGGGCATTACAGTTCAACTATATTTTCCTTGAAATGTCCAGAAACAACAGCACAACATTGTTTCCCTTTCTGTAAACACTACCGTATAGCTGACAAAGGGAAATTTCATTTTCCTTAAATGAATTTCGTTGAAATCAGCTGCTCTATTTAAAATAGGTAATTGACTTGCTGAAGATTTCACACAAAGTTTTCATTCTCCTATGCTTGATCTGTCTTCACAGTGAACCTCTAACTACGAATACCACAAAGGTAAATACTGAGAAGGATATATCAAATGGCAGGCTTTATGTTAGTTATCATTGGACCTTTAATTGACTACTGAGATCAGCCCTTTTCTAGAAATATTGAAAAGGACAGGTTGGAGGGGTTGGTAAATTCTGACCACTTGGCGAACCATTTATTTATTTATTTAACTCAAATGGCAGGCGTTTAGATAGTTATCATTAGCCCAATAGCTGAATCCGGGCTTCACAGAGAGAATGAGGAACATTAAAGTGACAACAAGTGGAGAGAGGAGGGGGGAGAATAATGATTCGCAGATATAAAGAGACAGACAGACATAAAGGCAGAGAAAAGGTAAGATGAGTACTTTGGAAGGGACATACAGTGGGGTAATGGTAGTTTGAAGTCAGAAGTCAAATTCCGGTTAATAGTCTATTTTGCCGTATGAGTATATGTTGCCCAGGGTGCACCACATGGAGGTAAGTCTAACGCACACCCCACTTGACGAACCATATAGTACAGTAGAAAAAGTGTGGCCGAATTTCGATGGTGCTTTAATATAACTCCTTGGGACATTTTTGGTTACTACTTGGTCATTCTATCCGCATATACAAATATTAATGTAGAGGGCCATTTATGATCAAATAGCGAATTAAGTTTAGTTCTTTGGGATGACAAATTGGTGCCGAGGGTAAGGTGACTAGGAGAGATTATCCACTAAGCGAGAAACTTTCACCCTTTCCCATCAAAAATGAATTTTTGAGAGAATTTTAGTTACATTTAACATATTTCCAAAAGGTGCAAATAAGTGTACAATTTTATTAATTTTTTTAAAAAACGAATGCCCATAACTAAGAGACGACTTGGACATTGGAAATTTGAATGTCAATGCGACATTTACTTCGAATTTTCCACGTAGCTCTAGTTGTCATTCTCGGCCCATTGTTCTTAAAACTTGGGAGTGCTCGGTCGAAGTAGATCAATGTTTTAAAGAGGGAAAATGTGCACATTTTTAGCGTTTCCATTACTGCAATCTTGTTTAGATTCGTCTGACGCTGGAATAAGAAAGAACTATCCAAAAGATTGGGTAGTGGTATCACTCCCATATTTGGCGTTTCAAAGCCGTTTTTTAGTGCATGTTTGTTTTTTTATAGTTTTCTTTTTAATTGCCTCCATTTTATTTCATTTATAAAGGAGAGTGACTTTTTTCCCATGCACTTAGCTTAACCCCTCTTCTCGAGGATGATAGCCATTACAGATTACTTATCAAACCCACCGCGAGCTTAGTCATCGTAAACAGTTATGATTGATGTATAAATATAAATTTCGATATATATATATATATATATATATATATATATATAT